ACTGTTAGTATCTTGTGTTTTTTAAAAGATGATTTACAAATCACGATGGAAGTTAGGCCGTTTAACGCTCGAATACAGCACTCTTTAATCCAGTAGCCGACCCCCAGGCCAGAACACCGTACCCAGCCACCGCATGAAAACACAAAAAGTACTCCACTCTAGCAGCCTCAAGACCCGCACAACGCCTCAATCGACGCACCATGAGGGCCCTATGTCAACAACGAGTCCAAGTAAAGTCCGAGAAAAGGGGTCGTACTCCTTTCTTTTGAGATGAAATCCAGGGACTGTGTTTTTTCGTTATTTAGTAGGAGCTTATTTGCGTTCATCCAGTCCGCAGCAGAGCCCAAAACTTCCCCGCTCCTCAACTCCACCGTCCGTGATGTGTTGAACCACAAAAGACGTATTGTCGGCATATAAAGATTTAGTGACCCCCGTCGTGCAATCTGGCAGATTATTCAGATAGATCATGAAAAGTAAGGGACCAAGGATTGACCCATGGGGAACACCACATAAACACTTCTTTCCGTCTGACAATTTCCCCTTCCAATGAACCATCTGGTATCTTTGAGAAAGGTATGACTCAATAAGTTTTAATTGGTTACCTCTAATACCGTAGAATTCTAACTAGTTTAGCATTATACCATGGGTCACGGTGTCGAACGCTCTGCTCAGATCACAACAGATCATTTTATCTTTTTCGAAACCATCATGTGCATCAATGATATCTCTTGTTATGTTCATAATAGCCGTCGTTGTAGATCTTTTTGATCTGTATCCATGTTGCCTTTCAGTTATTATGTCATTCTTATCTAAGTAGTTTGAGATCCCTCGCTTGGTTAGTTCCTCAAAAACCTTTGAAAAACCGGCAACAAGGTTGGTCTAGAAAGATGGTCTTTCAACCATCTTCTCAATCTCTCCCTCACATTGGGCTCTTGGTCTAACACGGTTTCTCTTTCCTTCTGGCTTCATGTTGAGCATTTTCTTAGACAAACTTAGTTGTTTTCCCTCTATTTTCTGTATCTCTTCTGGCTTTCCCCAATATCTTTCGTAGGTACTTCATCTCTGCTGCTGTTATTTTCGATTTGTGCTTATCTAACGTCGTCCAAGTTTCTGATCCATAATTAAGTGTGGGTATATAGATGGTTTTATATAATTGTATTTTTGCCTTAGTGTTCAGTTCCTTCTTGCCTACGAGGGTGTTGTTTATTTGATAGTAGACTGCCCTTGCTTTTGCTGTTCTGTTGCGTATTTCCTGATCTATCTTTCCATCCTCACTTATTATAGTTCCAAGATATTCGTACTTTTCTACCACCTCCAGTCGTTGCTTCTTTTCTGATGTGTAGGATGTTACTTTTGTTCTTGTTAAGGTCTCGTCTGCGTAGTTTGTCTTTTGATTTGCTTTATTATTTTGTCCATGTATGCTACAAAGAATAATGGATTTAAACTGTCACCCTAAAGATTTACAGAAAATTAAATTGTTCGAAGAAAATGTATTCTACATAATATATAAACAGGATTTTTATTTTCTTAAGATATTTTACATTATAAACCAGTTATAAAACGCACCAGTGTTCATTAACAGCCGTCTCTTATTATTATCAATCGGCAATTTGCAAGCACGTTTTTCACGTCTGATTCGCGTTGTTAAAAAGAGCCGCCGCGGTTTTAATCGCATAACGTCCGAACAAGATTTATCCGAACCAGGGACGTTCGCATGGAGTCCCCCCATTTTTACAACCGGATGCGTTAATGGCGAGAGTCTTGTACCGTATTAAGGTCGGTAATAAATAAAAAAAATGTTTTCGTGCGCTTTATAATTTAATATTCACAAAAAGTTTAATACACTAGGTGGTGTTTATTAAAATAAAATCAAATCGATAATCTTTTTTCTTGACAATTTAAGATTAGAGAATGATCTTCGACGAATTGCTGCTCTCTCATACGGAAAATGGTGAAATTATTGACCTTTTCTAAATTCCTTCGACTGTCTTAATGTCCACGTTACACGACCGCCAATTGACTAACATTCGCGGAGGCCAATTAATTAGAAACTCGAATTGGAAAAGCGATCGTTTCGCGGATAACGCCGTCTTGTTTATGGACAAACTAGAGCGATTGATTTCTGCATTTCAGAACTTGTCAAGTTATTTATCAAAGAAATTTTAATTATATCTCTTTTTACGACACATCAATTATAATAATAATCTCTAAGAAAATTGATAACATTATATTGTTAGAAAAGCAATTTCCAGGAAGCACAAAAATTTAGGACCCCCCGTTGTAAATAACAGTTATTAGACATAATGCATACAAGATATTTCTCCATGACGTACTCATTACATAGCAGGATTACTAGTACTTATTACACCAGCAGGAAACCATCGAAGTTCCTCTGTATACGAACCAATTTCCACTTTTCCACATCGAAAACGGGGATTTCCCGTTTTCGAAGCACACTCTACAAAGATGGTGCTAGATAACTCCTGAACGCAAAAACTGAAGCCTCGGATAGCAATTAGCCGCGGGCCTCAACGATAACGGTCTAAACGACGTCGGTCAACGGCTACCGCTTAATTGTATGTTAATCTTTCCACGGAGGCGATGAACACCAGAAGAACGAACACAAAATCACCATCTTCCTGTCTGCACTTTACTTCTGCGAGAACATTCTTATTCTCAATCGGTACGGCTATTTACGCTTTGCCTTTATTAAGGAAGGAACAGATCTACTTGTGATGGTAATTGGAAATTATCTTTTAACATCAACGTTCATTATGCTTATTAATGAGAACCATAACTAAGATTAGTTATAAGGAAATGAGAATAAATAATTTCTTGTAGATTTTTTAATACTACATTTCATCATGTTTTTTTTCTTTATTTCAACGATATATTTTATTTTTTTATAACTTTGTTGGAGAATAAAGCAATACACATCCTTTAGATGCACCTGATCCCAGCGTCAATTCGAATATCATGATTCGACTCACATCTTAACAGTTCCGTGACTCAATTATGTGCCAAACTCAGTTCTTTTGCATAGGTGATAGATTAATGAAGAACAAATCTTAACGATTCTTGAAACATACTTATAAAAGATCAAACGCACATATCTTATTTGCAATATCTTGTTTAATGGATTAATGTACTTTAGTATTTTATGCCAAATAACTGATGAACACAAATGGTTTCAAGGTTAATTCTTGAACTTGTTGCAACAGAAACAGAAAACGCTCTTTTGTGAAAAAGAGTACATCAGTATTCTAAAGTCATAACAATATGTGCTACAATGTCGACCTTTCAATAGGATGGAGGATATTACTGAAAGACATATCTTTAGACATATAAAGTCCGAAGATCTGTTTGTTATGTTAACATACAGATTTGACGATCACACAACAAGCAGTGATATAATTTACATTTATAGACTTGCTGCAATATCAAATTATAACTATGTATAAGATGTCTAACAACTGCAACGATAATCTTAATTGCAATGAATACGGAGTCGAAGAGAAAAATCAAGTTTGATATTTTTCAAATGTAAGAAATTTTGAACAGTTTCTTTGAAAAATAGTTGCTGTCATCCAATCAACTCTTATTAGCTGCATATGTGACTGTTTGTAGATAGATTTTTGTATTTTCCAATAACAAGCAGTTTACGTTTTTCTGTACAACTTAAATTTGCACACACAAAAACGGTTAACTAAGAGGATACAAGATGGGAAATAAGGTGGTTAACATCCTGTATCCATACGCAAACGATGCTGTGCTGGTCACGGAAAATGAAGATGATCTCCAGAGGTTACTGTTCCAGTTTCAGCAGCAAAAACAAAATACATGACTACCTCCAAGACACCGATCACATGCAAGCTGGTGGTCGATGATAAAATCATACATCAAGAAATGAAATTCAAATATTTGGCATTGAAATATCTGGATACGGAGATATTGAGACCGAAGTAAAGAATCAAGCTAGTAGAGCGGCAAGAACAGCTGCATAACCTAAATGCTTACAAGACTGCAATTAGACCTATATTAACCCTTTTACTGTTATTGTATCTTGAGAGGAACACGGTTTCTTGCTATGTTTTAATGATGGTACAGTGAAAGTATTAACATATGCAGCAGAGACTCGACCAAAAGCATCCAAAACAAAAAGAATGCTACAAACTACAGAAATGAAAATAGTGTATAGAATAGTTGGGAAAACATTGATGGACAGAGAAAGAAGTGAGAACATCAGAGAGGCTTGCAGGATAGATAACATCAATGATTGGGTATTGGAGAGAAAGAAAAAATGGAATGAGCATATCGACAGAAGAACGAATTGTGAAAATAACACGGGACAAATCAGCATCAGGACGACCTAGAAAAAGATGGAGCGACAACCTTCCAAACGATTAGGGGGTAAAAAAGTTAAGAAAAACAGGTGGTTATGTTAAATTTTAAGCTACGATCAGGAGCAAGTTTATAAAAAATGTTCTGTTTTGCTCCCCATTAAAAATATCATCATCGGTGTCTGCTTTAACCAAGTAGAAACGACGTCTTTATTAATTTCTGCTGCTTGTGCAGAAATTTTAGCGGTAAATTTATGTCTTGCTTTAAATGTTTCCAACCATTCTGTAGTATATTGAAAATCTTAAACATCTAGTAATTTTCCAAACTCTGATATATTTAAATTGCTTTTAGCTTTATAAATCGTTATACGTAATAAACGACTACACTGTATGACGTTCGTAAAGCAGTTCAAGGTTCAAGTTATTATTTAATATGACAAAGTTATTTCTTAATCTTTATATTCATTATAATTAAATCTACTATAATATTTCAAACGTGTCGATTTTATTACCTTCAGCGAACTCTATACTTCAATAGTCATACTACAGAAGTGCTCAAAAGTGTTAAAAATATTCGACATCAACATTCTGTAACATTGATTTATAGAAACACGAAATGTATTTTAATAACAATATGTTTATTGATTTTTGTTGGTGACAATATAAAAAATGTTCTATTTAAGTCAAACATTATTACTAATCTCGAAATGAATAATTTCTGATTATTGAACCACATCCACTATTTCTCTATCTTCAACGTCATGATTCATCTAGTTTAGTTTATAAACAACTAAAAATAAGTACGAATAATCTCTTGGCGAATTAATAATGTTAATTTTGATAACAACTAATTTCTCAAGTAAATACAGTCCAAAGAGATTGTTCCAAATGAAACTTTGATTCCGGTTGTGGTTGAACATCATCGGTGAATCCCCCAATTCTTTAATTTTTTTTCTCTTTTACGATGCCTATAAATACATGCGCGGAAATTCTTCTTCGCAGTCGTCAGTCGTAGACTCATCGCAATCGGTTCAAAACGTTTCTAAACATGTTTTCAAAATTCTCTTTTTTGTTTTGTTTTATAATGTGCTGCTATTGTTATCATAACAGCTTCAAGTAGGTTTCAATTTTTGTTTTTATCTAACTTTTTATATGTATTTTTTTAGGATTTCTTTGTTTCGACAAAAAACGCCTAGAGAAAATATGTTGGACACACCTAACATACCCGAACATGATATTTGGCTGGATTGGGTTAAAAAACCAAAACCTAGAAACAGAACTAATGATACTATACCTTTAATGAGATATCTTGATGTAAGTTTTATTGTCTCACTATTTAAAGATGGTTTAAGCTACTTTTTATCTTTCTTGTTTATTGTGGTTGTTATAATTTAGAAGAAGCCAACTTGATAACCTTGTTATTCTTCCTGTGTATTAAGTATTAACTAAAAATAGATTTTGCTCTCTATGTTATTTGATAAAATATAATCATCATTTAAATTCATAAATTTTAGTCAGAGTTTTATGGAATTATTAATGTGGGATCCCCTGGTCAAGAAATGAAAGTAATTTTTGATACAGCCTGGACAACTTCTTGGGTATTATCTAAAGATTGTCCTACAAAAAGTATTGGTTGTTGTATGTTTTATATCACATTGTTTTTATTTTAGATTTATTTATTGCTTATCAAATAATAATTTTAGGGTTTCATTCAAAATTCAACCATGATCAATCATCAACATACAATGCTACAAATAAAACGTATCTTGCTAATGAAGGAACTTATAATTTGACTGGATATTATTCTAGAGATAGAATAGTGGTATGTTATCAATTGCGTACATTTTAGTTTGGAAAATAATTCTATAACATTTTCATAGGCTGGCCAATCACTTATAAATCAAACATTTGTTGAAATGGTTGGAGTTCCTTATTGGAATGTGTTTACAAAAGCTGATGGTGTTATTGGATTAGCTATGGATAGAGGTGATGGTGTGACACCATTTTTCTATAACATGCTTAGGCAAACAAAAATTAAAACGCCTATTTTTTCAATTTATCTTAACAGGTAAAATTTAAATTTATTTATTGAACATTTCTTTAATATAATTATTTTTGTTGTATAGAGATAGGAGTTCACCTAAAGGTGGAAGCATCTATTTTGGAGGAATTGATGGAAAACATGTTCACCACATCAATAAAACTGTAAAAGAAAACATTACATATGCTCCTGTTAATACAGATAGTACTAATTGGGAATTTAACATGGATTCGTAAATGGCTAGTTCTTAATGTAATTTTTAATTTTTAACATTTTATTTTTTAGCGTTAATTTATGGTATCAAAATAAATCTATTCCAGTTTGTGACGCAGATTGTGTAGCATTTGCAGACACAAGTAGTAATTCAATTATAACCACAAAAGATTACTTGAAGATAATCAATCAACATATTAGGGCAAAACCATTATATTTTGGACGATATGAAGTATGTTAACAAAAATTCTGTTTTTATTTTTCTATAAATTAATTTTTAGGTTGATTGTAACACCATTAACCAAATGCCACACATAACTTTTGTAATATCTGGAGAGAAATTTAATTTAACTGGAACCGATTATGTGCAAAAAGTACTTAACAAAAAAAATATAAAGTGATCTAAATAATTTTTTGGTACTACTTTTTATAGGTTTCTGCTAAACTTGTAACAGTATGCATATCAGCTTTTGTGGAGGGGACAGCAACATCTGACAAAAACCATTGGCTCCTTGGAGGAGCTTTTCTTTCAAAGTTTTTCAGCATATACGATTTGGAGAAGAAACGAATTGGATTTGTTCTAGCTGCTTAAAGCGCATAAAAATCGTACATTAAATGTGTAAAATGTTTAATTTGCGTTACAGTGATATATAACATGTTCCATCAATTTACGACAATGACTGGATGAATCTCTTTGTTTTGCTTTTAAAATTTTCCGTAAATTTCTAATCCTAATCAATTTACGAAAAATTTTAAAAGCAAAACAAAGAAATTTTTTTGATTACTGTCGTAAATTGATGGAACATGTTATATATCACTGTAACGCACGTGAGTATTTCAATAAAATCTATAACTAAAACTAATTTGTCTTATAATTTCAATCTTTCTAATGTTTAGCATCATTGGTCGACACCATATTATTAATTTATTGACCAAAAATAAGGTGAAAAAGAGATGACCACAAAGTTATTTTGCTATTATTTCCATGAATTCTAAATATATATAGATTCTTTTACATATGTTCTTGAATAAAATCAATAAATGAAGCAATTCTGGTATGTACTGATGGAGCTCCAGCTCTACCACATGGCAAAACTCCCCAAGAAACGACGCCAACAAGAACACCGTCTTGGACAATTGGACCACCACTGTCACCAGAACAAGCAGCGACTCCATCATCTAAACCTCCACTGCAAACATTACTACGTTCATCCAAATGCAAAGGAGATCCGACTAACGCAACAAAAGCGTCGTAACATTCTGAAACCAATAAAAATATTTATTAAACTAACCATTTAAAAAAAAAAAAATAAATAAGTACCTTGATGGCTCAACAAAGGCGTATTAGCTTTTTGAAGACGATTTGGCATAATCACAGTCGAACCGGTTGAGGTTGATCCCCAACCTGATAAAACGGAGGTACCACTGAAAACGGCATCAGCTACCGGAAGACCAACAGGTTGAACAGCATCGGTCCAAAAGAAAAGAACGCTGATTTTAATAATACCAATATCGTTAGGACCAATGCTCCCACTGTAGCCGGGATGTATGATTGTGTTGGTGACTCTAAAAACTTGCGCGTCGGATGGACCATTGATTTCGTCTAAATCTAAGATACCAACTACAATTCTCAAATAATTCAAATCTTCTCGGATTAAGCAGTGAGCAGCGGTTACGACAGTGTCTTCATCTAAGATTGCACCACCACAATTGTGGTACCAAACACCGTTGCGATTTATTTGAACGGAGACTTGATATGGGAATTCATTTCTTTGGGCATCTTCACCATTGGTGATTTTAGTAGAAGGTGCGGCTGTTTGATTAAATTTGATTAAAATAATTAGACAATATACACACTAAAGTGACTTACCAAAAGCACCAGCTAAAACTGTAGCCCATAAAATAAAAAGTTTCATGTTTAGTTATAAAAAGACGATTGGAGTCTATTTAAACGGTTGAAATGTATCAGTATATATAGTTTCTAAGGTCCGATTAAGGATTTATCAATAACTGATTAAATCGCAAAAAAGTCCCCGATCGAAAGATGTTTTTGATAATGAATTTAATTGAAGAAAATCAACAAGTTGAATCATTAAGTGGACCACGCCAAATTTCAATTGATGTCCGGTATGATTTTCGTTAGTTATCATATGATTGAAATGAAAATAAGAAACTCATTTCTAATGTCTAATTAAATAATAAATTTTCTATGGGATTTAATAAAATTTGTATTAAATTATTATAAGATGAAACACTTTAACAGTTTGGTGTATATTGAACAAAATAACTACTTGGTGGGACTAATCAAGACGAGAAGCTTAAACAAACCCTATTACTAGCATTACTCGACGAACTAAAAAAACATGATGATGGCAATACAAAAAAAGTGGCCAAGTAATGGAGTTAGAGACTAAACATCCACTACTTTTTATAGGTTTCTGCCAAACTTGTAACAATATGCATATCAGCTTTTGTGGAGAGGACAGCCACATCTGACAAAAACCATTGGCTGCTTGGAAGAGCTTTTCTTTCAAAGTTTTTTAACATATACGATTTGGAGAAGAAACGGATTGGATTTGTTCTAGCTGCTTAAAGCGCATAAAAATCTTACATTCAATGTGTAAAATGTTTAATTTGCGTTACAGTGATATATAACATGTTCCATCAATATACGGCAATGACTGGACGAATCCCTTTGTTTTGCTTTTAAAATTTTCGATAAATTTCTAATCCTAATCAATTTACGAAAAATTTTAAAAGTGGGGCAAGGACATTTATTTGATTACTGTCGTAAATTGATGAAACATGTTATACAGGGTGATTCATTAGCTCTATGACAAACTTTGGCAGATGAAAGGTGATGCGATTCTAAGGAAAAAATGTTATATGAATATGGGTCCGATTCATTTTGGTTAAAGAGTTACAAGCCTTTGAAAATTTTACACAGTTTAATAGGCAAATGAAAATGTAACATAAAAAATAAGTTTAAAAATTACAAAAATTGTTCGAAATGTCCGCCTTCAGCTTGAATGCACGCCTCACATCGACGAAGTAAAGATTCTATCACACGACGTATGATATTTGGATCATTCCGTATGCTATTAGCTGCATCTTGAATTCTGTCCAGTAGTTGCTGACGGGTAGTAATTTCTACATGGTACACAAGCTGCTTCATGTGTCCCCAGAAATAATAATCCAGCGGATTTAGATCTGGGGATCGTGGTGGCCAGACTACTGGACCTCCATTGCCAATCCATTTGTTTGGAAAATGTTCATGTAACCAAGCGATGACTTCTCTTCCTCGATGTGGTGGTGCACCATCGTGCTGATACCACATATTTTGAACGATGTTAAGTGGTACGTCGTCGATAAAATCGAAAAGGTTATGTCCCAAGAAATTTCTGTACATATTTGCATTTAAGCGTTCATTTATCACCCATACAGGTAGCAAAGAATTGTTAAAAATGCCACCCCAAACGTTTACACTAAACCGTTGCTGAAATCTTCCTGGTCTAATTGCATGTGGATTTTGCAAGGACCACACATGTTCGTTATGATAATTATTTATGCCGTCCCTAGTGAAACACGCTTCATCAGACCACAGAACTTGGGAAATGAAGTTATTATTTTGAGCATGTTGCTGAATAATCCAGTGGCAAAATGCTAAGCGTTGCTCAGTATCTCCAGGATGTAATGCTTGAACATTTTGGCGATGAAACGGATGTAACATTTCTCGATTCAATACACGCCATACAAAACTTTGGGATATTTGTAACATGCTCGCTATACGCCGAGTACTAATTGAAGGGTCGTCAAGTACTAAATCAATAACACGTTCTTCATTTTGTACATTCACATCATGGGGACGAACGGAATGTAGTGGAGCGGGGTTACCTGTTTCTCTCAGTCTGCGAAATGATGCACTAAACACTGTATGGGCAGGTTGATGTCTATTTGGAAACCTACGAAGGTATTCTCTTGCTGCTTGCCGAGCGTTTCCGTTACAAAGCCCGTATACAAAAATAATATCTGCATATTCTTCAGTCGTAAATACATGCATTTTCGTTTTCGATCAAAACTCTGACAATTATAAACTTTGAAACACACAGAATAGAGTAAATTGAAATGTTTGACATAAAGAACTCAGTTTTGTTATCACAGCCAACTCTGTATTTGTGTTTCATAATTATTGTTGCGATTGTTGCAAATCTTTACTTCGTCGATGTGAGGCGTGCATTCAAGCTGAAGGCGGACATTTCGAACAATTTTTGTAATTTTTAAACTTATTTTTTATGTTACATTTTCATTTGCCTATTAAACTGTGTAAAATTTTCAAAGGCTTGTAACTCTTTAACCAAAATGAATGGGAACCATATTCATATAACATTTTTTCCTTAGAATCGCATCACCTTTCATCTGCCAAAGTTTGTCATAGAGCTAATGAATCACCCTGTATATCACTGTAACGCACGTGAATATTTCAATAAAATCAATGACTAAAACTAATTTGTCTTATAATTTCAATCTTTATAATATTATGAATATTTGTTCAGCATCATTGAATGACACCATATTATAAATTTATTGGCCAAAAATAAGATAACAAACTAACTACATAGTTAGATTGCTATTATTTCTATGAATTCTAAATATATATTGATTATTTTACATATATTCTTGAATAAAATCAATAAATGAAGCAATTCTGGTATGTACTGATGGAGCTCCAGTCATACCACACGAAACTCCCCAAGAAACGACGCCAACAAGAACACCATCTTGGACAATTGGGCCACCACTGTCACCGTAACAAGAAGCCCCCAAGATTCCTTCATCTAAACCTCCGGTGCAAATATTACTACGTTCATCCAATTTGTCAGCAGATGTCGCAGGCAATGCGTCGAAACATTCTGAAACCAATAAAAACATGTATTAAACTAACCATGTTAAGAAAAAACAAATAAGTACCTTGATAGCTCAACAAAGGCGTGTTAGCTTTTTGAAGGCGATTTGGCATAATCGGGACTACAATAGGAAAGATGGATCCCCAACCTGATAAAACGGAGGCACCAATGAAAACGGCATCAGCTACCGGAAGACCAACAGGTTGAACAGCATCGGTCCAAAAGAAAAGATCGATGATTTTAATAATACCAATGTCGTTTGGACCAACGTCGTCTCCCCCAATGAAGTTTGGATGTATGATTGTGTTGGTGACTGCAAAAACTCTCGCGTCGGATGGATCATCAATTTCGTCTAAATCCAAGATACCAACTACGATTCTCAAATCACCCAAATCATGTTCAAATAAGCAGTGAGCAGCGGTTACAATAGTGTCTTCATCTAAGATTACACACCACAACTGTGGAACCAAACACCGTCTTGATTTAGTTGAACGGAGACTTCATATGGGAATTCATTTTTTTGGGCATCTTCACCACCGATGATTTTAGTAGAAGGTGCGGCTGTTTGATTAAATTGAGTAAAATAATTAGACAATAAAGACGGTGAAGTGACTTACCAAAAGCACCAGCTAAAATTGTAGCCAATACAATGAAAAGTTTCATGTTTAGTTATAAAAAGACAATTGGAGTCTATTTAAACGGTTGTAATGTATCAATTTATAATATAATTTCTAAGGTCCGATTAAAGATTTATCAACAACTGATTAAATCGCAAAAAAGTCCCCGATCGAAAGATGTTCAAAGTTTAAAACTGAAATGAAAAATAAATCAATAAGTTGAATCATTAAGTGGACCACGCCAAATTTCAATTGACGTCTGGTATGATTTTCCTTAGTTATCACATGAAAGAAATGAAAACAAGAAACTCATTTCTAATGTCTAATTAAATAATAAATTTTCTATGAGATCTAATAAAATTTTTATTAAATTATTCATACACAGAAACTGACAAAAATAAATCAAAAATTGTTAGTTTATTTCGCTACCTTTATGTTCCAAATTAAACACACCGTGGTTGTTATGTAATGGATAGCCTAAAAGAATTATTTATTTTATTTTAAAATTATAACATTTTTTTTTAAATGACTTACTCTTACATATAAAGGAGAATTGATATGATACACTCCAAAAATAGAAAAATTAAGGTCATGTCTCATCAAGTACATTAAAGTTTGTTTAATGTCTTTTTTTATGGATAATTTACCTGATGATAACAAGAAAGAACGGCTAACACTTCTTGTAAGGTTATTTTTTTCTTGAATTATTTTTTCAGATAACAACGTTATGATATAAGCGAGACCAATATTTAAACCCACAAGAAGAACATTGCTATAAACTTGTATCCACATAGATTTTTTCTCCATTATGTATAAATCTTTATAAGCTCGATATCCTTCAACAGAAGTTTCCACGAAACAACCTACATTGGATATAATTATTTGTCCCTGACTGATCTTTATATAATGCTTGTATAATTGAAGTATAAGTGCAAATGATTTGTTTGTAAATTTTAATAAGTGCTTCATACAAATTTCATCGATATCAACAATATTTCTTTTATTGTTATTACACATTGCACAATTAACTTTTTTTGTTAAATAAGATTTATTTGCGTAAATTTTCACTAATATTTTTAACGCATCTATTAAAATTCGTTGATAAAAAACTAATGTAAGCATAGTATTAATAGCTACTATTGCAATGAGTAATTTAAAAGATAAAGACGATCGTGCATTATTTATAAGGAGCGATACAATGAAAAGAATCGAGTGAATAGAATTATAAATTATCAAAGAATACAATAATAAATTAAATATATTTCCTTTAAAATGATTGAGTTTTGAATTATATTCATCAAAAACGTTCTCCAATTTTCTCCATGTTTCATAAAAATGAATATAAGTATTTTGCATAAAATATCGTGTTATCCAATAACCAAGACACATTGCTAATCCTAATGTTATTTCGATGAACAATTCTAAAGATTCTTCGTAATGATTCGCAATAATATCGTAAGCATTTTGAACGTACAACGAAATTACTAAACCAATGTATGTTGCTAATATTAATTTGCAAGCACAACAATTATTCACTTGAAAAGATTCTGTTCGTTTATTCCAAGATAATAAGTCTAAACTGTATGGACCGCTTATGTATTGGATTTGTCTTAAAAAGGCTATATCGGTAGACATTTTTGAACGAAATGAAACTCCAGTTAGTTTAATCAACACAAACATTTCAATCAATTTTTATATGATGTTATTATAGAAAGTATTAAACGGAAATGTGTTCACATTCGATTCATATCTATCGTAATACTCATATTAATTTTGTTCATATGATTTATAATGTTATCATACTTTTATTATGAAAAAGACAATTATTGTAACGAATACTGATTTTTACACATCAATCTAAAATTTGTTCGATGGAAAATCCGAATAAATCCCACTAAATATAATAATAAATAAGAAGGACAAATGTTGGAAACAACAAAAATGCCGAAATTGGTGGAAGTTATTGTTGAAAACACTTTAACAGTTTGGTGTATATTGAGCTAAATAACTACTTGGTGGAACCAATCACGATGAGAACCTTAAATAAACCTTATTACTAGCATTACTCGACGAATTAAGGAAACGTAAAATGATGGCAATATAAAAAGCAAAGTGGCCAGGTAATGAAGTTAGAGACTAAACATCCACTGCCCATAGAGAAGCAAAACGAAGATGTCAAAAAAAGATTTTACCAATTCTTAAAGGAAGTTTATGCAATTATTAAAGGAAAATATGAACGCCAAACTACGAAAAGAGGCGCAGTTTACCGGCACGATATGGAAACACTCATTTCAGAGAAAAAACATTGTGAATGAACTAGATAAATAAAGATATGACAGTAACCAGTAAAAACATGCTTCTCACGCAGAAATTTAATTTAACTGAAACCGATTACTACGTACAAAAAGCAATTAACAAAAAAATATATAAAGTGATCTATTTTTTGGTACTACTTTTTATAGGTTTTTGCCAAACTTGTAACAATATGCATATCAGCTTTTGTGGAGGGGACAGCAACATCTGACAAAAACCGTTGGCTCCTTGGAGAAGCTTTTCTTTCAAAGTTTTTCAGCATATACGATTTGGAGAAGAAACGAATTGGATGTGTTCTAGCTGCTTAAAGCGCATAATAATCTTACATTCAATGTGTAAAATGTTTAATTTGCGTTACAGTGATATATAACATGTTCCATCAATACGGCAATGACTGGATGAATCCCTTTGTTTTGCTTTTAAAATTTTCCGTACATTTCTAATACTGATCAATTTACCAAAAATTTTAAGTGGGGCAAAAAAATTTATTTGATTACTGTCGTAAATAAAAAATAAAATCTATAACTAAAAGTAATTTGTCTTATAATTTCAATCTTTATAATATTATGAAGGTTTGCTTAGCATCATTGATTGACACCATATTATTAATGTATTCACCAAAAATAAGAAAACAAGCTGACTACATAGTTAGATTGCTATTATTTCTATGAATTCTAAATATATATTGATTATTTTACATATGTTCTTGAATAAAATCAATAAATGAAGCAATTCTGGTATGTACTGATGGAGCTCCAGTCATACCACACGAAACTCCCCAAGAAACGACGCCAACAAGAACACCATCTTGAACAACTGGGCCACCACTGTCACCGGAACAAGGAGCCTCAAAGACTCCATCATCTAAACCTCCAGTGCAAACATTACTACGTTCATCAAACTTGTCAGAAATTCCAGTCACTGCAACGAAAGCGTCGTAACATTCTGAAACCAATAAAAATATTTATTAAACTAACCATTTTAAGAAAAAATAAATAAGTACCTTGATAGCTCAATAAAGGCGTGTTAGCTTTTTGAAGGCGATTTGGCATAATCGGAATTATAATAGGAAAGGTGGATCCCCAACCAGATACAACGGAGGGACCAGTGAAAACGGCATCAGCTACCGGAAGACTAACGGGTTGAACAGCATCGGTCCAAAAGAAAAGATCGCTGATTTTAATAATACCAATGTCGTTAGGACCAACGCCGGCCCCCCCAATGTAGTCTGGATGTATGATTGTGTTGGTTACTGTAAAAACTCGCGCGTCGGATGGACCATCAATTTCGTCTAAATCCAAGATACCAACTACGATTCTCAAATCAGCCAAATCATGTTCGAATAAGCAGTGAGCAGCGGTTACGATAGTGTCTTCATCTAAGATTGCACCACCACAATTGTGGAACCAAGCACCGTCGCGATTTAGTTGAACGGAGACTTGATATGGGAATTCATTTCTTTCGGCATCTTCACCACTGATGATTTTAGTAGAAGGTGCGGCTGTTTGATTAAATCGAGTAAAATAATTAGACAATAAAGACACTGAAGTGACTTACCAAAAGCACCAGCTAAAATTGTAGCCAATACAATGAAAAGTTTCATGTTTAGTTATAAAAAGACAATTGGAGTCTATTCAAACGTTTGAAATGTATCAATTTATATAATTTCTAAGATCCGATTAAAGATTTATCAACAACTGATTAAATCGCAAAAAAGTCCCCGATCGAAAGATGTTCAAAGTTTAAAACAGCAATGAAAAATAAATTAATAAGTTGAATCATTAAGTGGACCATGCCTAATTTCAATTGACGTCTGGTATGATTTTCCTTAGTTGTCACATGAAAGAAATGAAGACAAGAAACTCATTTCTAATGTCTAATTAAATAATAAATTTTCTATGAGATTTAATAAAATTTTTATTAAATTATTCATACACAGAAACTGACATAAAAATAAAGCAAAAATTGTTAGTTTATTTCGCTACCTTTATGTTCCAAATTAAACACACCGTGGTTGTTATGTAATGGATAGCATAAAAAAATTATTTATTTTATTTTAAAATTATAACACTTTTTTCTACTTGGTGGAACCAATCACGATGAGAACTTTAAATAAACCCTATTACTAGCATTACTCGACGAACTAAGGAAACGTAAGATGATGGCAATATTAAGAGCACAGTGAAGGTAATGAAGTTAAAGACTAAACATCGACTGCCCATAGAGGTGCAAAAGGAAGATGTCAAAAAAAAATTTTACCAACTTTTAAAGGAAGTTTATGATAATTCACCAAGCAATGTAATCAAAATGATCTTGGAAAATATGAATGCCAAACTAGGAAAAGTTTACTGGCACGATAGCGAAACACTCATTTCACGGAGAAAACAATGTGAATGTACTTTGGCATTAGTAAAGATATGAAAGTAACCTAAAACATGCTTCCAACACAATGGACAAACAGCTGCGAATTGATCTTACCCTACATCTCAAAACAAGAAGAGCATGTTGTATCCAAAAATAGTACTCACACGGACAAAGAGAAAATACAGAAACTGAATAGACTACGGTTGCCAAGTAGGGACAAACTTAGAAAGTTAAATAAGATCAAGACTGATATGTGAAAACAATGTTAGCGTGACAGATGACTGGAACAGCACCAAAACAGAGTTGGAGAAGTGGTCAAAACAACAATAGGCAGCAAAGACACAAATAGAGCTATCTGTTTGATGACGATTGTAAACAGGCAATAGAGAAAATAAGTGGGGCACATGAAAGATACATACAAAGGAGAACCTAAAAAAGACAAACTTAAGAAAGAGAGACGACAAACTATATAGAAACAAGAAACGAATTTACGAGAATGATCTACTAGGCAAGCAAACCTGGCGGAACAAAATGCAGAACCTTCAACATTACAAGAAGGTAGAGAAACAATAAATGCTCCAAAAATAACAAACCGCAAGGTATTGTTGAAATTTCTTCAGAAATATGTAAATTGCATACATGGATAACAAAGATATGGTAGAATGAAACAATTCCTATAGGCTGGAAAAGAAAATTAATCTGCCTAAAAGTGTGCTACTCGTTGCTTACGCAACCGATATTTGCATGATATGTAAAAGGATTGAGTCAGTGCAGCTGAGATACTCAGAAACGAAGATACATGCCATTGCGGTCGGATTAGAAATCTCTTGGTCGGTAGACGAAAACATCCACCCGGTTGAGCAATGTATACCTGGGGCGGAACTGAGCTTGGATGAAACAGATAACAAAAAAAATCTTAGAAAAATGACTCTTGTTAATTATCCCACATATTCATCTACTTCTTCCTCCTAATAAGGATTTCTTCTGTTCTATCCGACTATTTTTGTTAATTTTCTTCTTGTGATGTCGCTGTCTATGAGTCAGACTGTAGCGTGCTGTGGCAGCAGCTCCATTTAAAAACACAAATTGTAGTTCATTTGTTATTATTTTTATATTTGCACACAATTGTTTTTGAAGCAAAACAGAACAGACGCAAAATAAAAAGTCTGTCAAAAAGTTAATTTTGTAATTGTATTATTATGTTGGCTAATACCTCATAGCCACACAGACCATGGCTTGCGGAGTCTTCCTGATGATCTTTTACTATACGGCTTCCTGACATTGGCGATATTTATTAATCTTCATTGTTAATGGTATTACTTTCGATTGTACATGCATATATAGATTACAGGATTATGTGATAGAAGACAAGAGAAATTCCACTAGTGAAATCTTGGTAAAAATTTGTGGGTATCTTGCTTTGAATGGGGTTGCTAAACTTCCAAGATTGAGATCCTACCTAATACAAGTTTTCTTATAGAACAAGAATGTGTACAAGATTATATCAAACAATGAACAGTCGTGAGGTACCTCGTCGTCTTTCTGATCGTGCGCCATCTTCATTAACATAAATTGCAAAGTAAATATTATTAGTTGATTTTGTAAAAAAAAAATTGTGGTAAATCGTCAAACCCATTATTTTGTTAGTTAACAAGCCGTGACTATTTACACATGTTTTATTAACTCTATAAAATTACCACATAAAAAATAATAATAAAGTCTAATTTCAATACGATTTTTTTATAAATTCTAATGACGTTCAAAATGTATAAAAGCCATAAATTGTATACTTTCCAATTTATTTCATAATTAAGTACAAAAAGATGTTAATCATAATTTTTTGCCAATTTTTATTAAATCAAGCGTAAGTAGATTTTTTTAAGAAAGCAATGAAAACAATAATTTTTTTAATCCAGTCAAGGAATAAATATAAACAATAACGCATTTCCTGACGATTTTTTATTTGGTGTAACTTCTTCAGCTTATCAAACAGAAGGTTCTTGGGATGTAGATGGTAATATTTGCAAATATTGATCTTAAATTTTAATACATTTCTTATATGTATAGGAAAAGAACCCTCAATATGGGATGATTTCACCCACACCTTCCCAAATAAAATAAAAAATACATCCAACTCTGATATATCATGCGATGGTTACAAAAAAATAGATGAAGATGTAGAATTATTAAAAAATCTCGGTGTAAACATCTACAAATTTTCTATTTCTTGGTCGAGAATTGTAAACGATGGAAAAATGAATCATCAAGGTTTAGAACATTACAACAAATTAATTGATGCGTTGATATCACATGATATCTCCCCGATGGTAACACTTTTCCATTGGGATACACCTCAAAGTATCCAATCTATAGGAGCATGGCTAAATCCTTACGTTGCAACACTTTTTGTTGAATACGCTCGATTAGTATTTGAAATTTTCGGCAATAGAGTTAAATATTGGATAACATTCAACGATCCTTTAACATTTTGTTTAAGATCATACACCGATGCAAATTTTCCGCCAGTTGGAACAAATTCAAAAATAAGCATTTATCTTTGTTCTTATGTTGTTTTAAAATCTCATGCTGCAGTTTATCGACTTTACGAAAATTCGTTTAAATACAGTCAAAATGGCTTGATGAGTATTAATTTGGGAACGCCTTGGTTTGTAGCAGAAACAACCAACGAATATAATGTTAAATTCGCTAAAATGTTGATGGAATTTACTGTAAGAGTTTTGTTAATTTTTGCTTTTTTTGTATTGTTGTAATGATTTTAGTTGGGTCAATTTGCCGAACCAATTTTCGGTAATGGGAATTACCCGAAAATAATGAGAGATAAGATTAGTACAAACAGTATGATAGAGAAGATGTTAAATTCAAAACTTCCAAAATTTACGAAAGATGAAATTGAAACTATAAATAACTCAGCAGATTTCTTTGCTTTAAATTATTATACTTCTATTACCATTTCAAATAACACATTTTCCAAAGATATCGCAACGAAAAAAAATCTTCAAAATCTGTGGGATAATTCTGTTAAAAATTTAATAAAATCAGACGCAGAATCTTTAGAAGCACTCCTAAATTACATTAAAAGCAAATATGGGAATATACCGATTTTTATTGTTGAAAATGGATATCCCGATACGGGAATTATCGAAGATTACGAGCGGACTCATTACATTCAAGTACTCAAAGCGATTTTTAATGTTAATCACGATAATAATTAATTTGTTTTAGACTCATCTAAATTCAGTACTTAATGCTATTTTTAGAGATGAAATTAATGTTATCGGTTATAATGTAAGAAGTTTTTTGGATTCATTTGAATGGACAGATGGATACAGGTTTGTTTTTAATGGATACAGCTTTAGGGTTGGGTTGGCTTGAGTTCGGTTAGGTTGGGTTGGGTTGACTTGACCAACACAAGCTTTTCCTTCCCCGGAACCACCGATAAGCATTTCTACAAGCCAACCCAATCCAAGACAAGAAGACCCAACCCAACCTTAAAGCTTTTCTGACACTGTACAGTTCTCGTTTTAATTGTTATTCAGTGGTAGATTGTTGTACATTTTTAACATTTTCTAAACTCGATCAAGATCTTCATTTTGTATTATGAACTTTAAACCCCAAACTAACAACATTACAAAACACGGATAGAATAAATGAAGCATTGATTCAAAGTGTGTAATAGTAGTTGCATGACGTCACGAACGGGCCTTCGAGCTGTGCATCTGTTCCCGGGATGTAGCAGTCCTCTTAGATTCTACAGTTCTTGCTAAAGCGATGTGGACTAAATGCAACTTTATTGATAGCTGTCCGAATTTGTGTGCATTAAAATTATTCATTTCTCAGATACTCCCTTCCTCATATTAATCCGTTATATCGAAGTTTTATAATATATTAAAAAATAATTTTAATTTTTAGTGTAAAATTTGGATTGTATCAAGTGGATTTTGAAAACAATGAGCGTAAAAGAATTCCTAAACTTTCTTCAGAAGCTTACAAAGAAATTGTTCGTAATAAAAGATTACCATCAACTATAACTGATAAACCTTAATTGAAATGATATTACTTTTTGAATGGGATAATAAAAGAAAATTAAACCAAATCATTCAATTCCCCACAATCTTTAAATTGAAATCGAAGAAATCACTTTTAATAAAAATGTCTAACCGAAACGATGTGTACAAAGTATTCCAACCAGTTTATTTAGTATCAAAAATTATTAGATTGTCCCCCGATTCCTTAAAACCAAATCAACAAAACTACAACATCGCTTATATCATAACAAATTTGCCGATTTATTTATATTTTGTTTATTACTCATATATTGAATGGAATTTGTGTGATTCTATAAAAAAGTTCGTTGTTTTCAGGCAACTTTCAAAATTAATAATTATTTTAAACGGAGTGATTTTCCTTCACATTCTGTACGAAATGTTTAAAAAACGTAAAATAATATCGAATACTTTGGATGAATTAAAACACATAGACGATGCTTTAAGAAAATATTTAAAAATATCACCGAAAAATTCCGTGAAAATAAGAAATTTTAGTTTATTAATTTCCGTATTAGAAATATCGTATTCTTTATGGACTATGTCAATTACAACGCTAATTGTATCGATATACAGAAAGATTATATTTCTTCAATACGTGACGTTAATGTACATGATTAAAAGTAAGCTTTATATTTTAAATCGTTTACTCGAAAATTTGGGTCAAAATAGATTTAATTTTAAGAAAATTATTGAATCGATAAAAATTTCGAAACAATTACATTTAAGTTTGTACGACGTTCTTCAAAACATACAAACAATTTATGAAAACATACAGATATTCACAAGTATTGGGCTATTATTTAACATTTTACGTAACAACTTCATGCTGTATTTATTGATAAAATACGAAACATTTTACGATTTGAAATTAATACTTAAAATTGGCGTTGAAATAATAATCGATGTGTTTAAATGTATTTTGTTGACTTCGTTTATCGGAGATTTCGTTAATAACGAAGCAAAAGGTACGAAAAATATTTTACAAATAATGTACTCAAAAAGTAATTATCAACAATACATTAAAGAAGATGTTAAATTGTTTATTCAACAAGTACGAATTTGTGATTTTCATATTAGTGCAGGAGGATATTTTGTATTAAACTCAAGTTTTACTCTTTTGGTAAGTTGTTTATTTACAAAATAAATATTGTAAACTATATCTCATATTGTATGATTTGGTAAGCTGTTCGCTACATGTATATTTTTCATTGAACTAAAACTAGAACTAACTAATAAAGAACGCAACGGTGTGGATAATTGTTCGAATTTATGTACATTAAAATTATTTACTCAAACAGTTTAAAGTGCAAATTAAAATTAATTAAATCTCTTCCCCATATTAATCCGTTATATCAAGTTTTTTTTTATAACAATGTTATTTTTTATATTTTAAGATCCTAAATGATGTTATAACATACTTCGTTTATTTGATTCAATATCAAAATAATCTTGATAAGTAAATCCCAATAATACATTTGACTCTAAGCAAATATTAGTTACATTATTCTAATCGTTTGTGTGTGTTTGACTGCAAAAGGATCGATATTTAATTTTTCAACTTCCCGTAACACAGTAAGAAACTTGAATTCAATGTGGAAAGAAATGTACCTTAAAGAATTATTTCGCAGAATTAAAAACCCAAAAAATGTATATGACAGCTTATTACCTTTGTATATGTTTACCAAAATTGTTGGATTATGTCCATATTCGTACACAAAAATTGTTGGTAAACCTAAATATATCGCATCATTTTTTGGAAGCACTTACAGCATATCGATTATTTTATTATTTGCTGGTGAGTAAATTGAATTGATGTTTGATGATGCAATAAATAAACAATTAGTCGTAGGTTATTACATTTTACAAGTTGAACAAAGTCATTCCGAAGATATCGTTGAAACCAATAAAATAGCGAATAGCATAGATATGTTTCAAATTTATGGTGGAATTTTTGTAATGACTGTATCGGTTGTTACGAATATTTTTCGACAAAAAGATGTTACAAATGCTATTTGTAAAATAGCTGATTTCGATCAAAAATTTAATTATTGCATTAATTATAAATTGCGGAGAAATTTTACAACTTGTAAGTTAATTAGATCCTTTATACTTTTTTTATCCAGAAATAATGTCTAATTTAAAAATTTGAACCTAAGTTAGACATACTTTATTTATCGATAATGTTTGTATCTGTATATTTTGACAGTAGCTGAATTATTTGGATTTTTTTTTAACATTATGTTTATGTGAGTGCACGTACATACTTACGATGTGTCGATAAACTTTTCAAGGAGGACCATTGAACTTTAGTAAAGTACTATATTATCTAAATGAAGAGAAGATTAAATCTGTACAAGACAATTTGTATTAAAAGTTAATAAATTATGAATCATACTAGTTAAATATAGAAACAATAGATAATTCTTACACGTTTGTTTTGAAACTCTGATTCAGCGTAAATTTGTTACTAAATATAATCTTTAATCTGTTGAATATTTTTGCTAATCATACTGATACGTTTTGGAACGTTAACCTTATTAGTTGTCACACCAACATGATCTTAGTTACTCAAGGTTACTTCAAGTGAAAAATGCATTTTGATAAAACTAGACATTTGGCAGAATTGATAGAATATTCGGCAGAAAATCCATGTGATCATGTTTTACTGCTAGTTTAACAGATGTAAGTTTTGTGAGATTGTGGTCAGACCAGGAACTTTCCAGGAAATTTGGAGTGGTTTAGGTTGCGCCTGCACAGAGTTAAACGAAGACATAGGGAACGACGCAATGTTAAATTTTCTGCTGTGAGATATGTTCAACAAACTGTCTAAATTACGACAAGGGGTGCTACAACTTATAGTAGTAGATCTCGTTTGGTATTCCTTTGAGGCAATATGAACGCCCAGTGACTTTTTTCCATTAATTCAGCAGTTGGAATACCTACTTTATCAACATGATGTCATTCCCCATATTGCAAAACCATCTGTGACGCGATTTGCAGAAAATAATGTCAACCACTTGCCATGTTTCGAATCTCGAGATGTTACGTTCATCTGGCATGCTTGGGACATTATGGCACGGAGATTGACGAACTTGCCGGAATCTCCGTAGATGGTATATCAAAAGATTTGACAAACAAATACAAATTCCTCAATGAAGATATGGGTTCTCGTAGACTCAATGTCTTGCATCGGCGAAAGTTGCCAACTGGAAACAACCCAACGTCTTTGTCCTAGAAGAATTGATAAAGTCAACATTTTGCAAAAGTTTCATTGCCGATGCTCCAACGAATCCGTTGTAAATACTGAATATTATTGTGTTGATCACAAACAGTCGGACAATAATTGGTTACAAATTTTTTAACTTTTGGGCATAATATTTAATTTACAATAATAAAACATCCCTATGGATCACTACTTTAGAAAGTGTGGGACTCAAGGTGAGCAAATCAAAAGGAGCATTATTACCCATCTACCATCTATTACCCGGATGAAACACCAATCCCGAAAGTCGTACAATTTAAGTATCTGGGATCTGTTATCTCTAATAACGCATATGTGGCTTGGCAGAAATAGCGGTCCTTAACTGGAGGGCTATGCGACCCGAATTCCTATTTGCAGAAAGTGTACAGGATGGCGATAACCCAACCCGTTATGATATAAGAGATCCAGAGCGAATATATTCGCGGCAGCATCAAGATGACTCCTGTGACTGAGAAACTTATGGAAAGTAGCCTGAAATGGCACAGCCATGTTATGCCCAGAGACGAACATCATGTTGTAAGAAGAGCGCTAAGAGAACAAAACAGGAAAAGAGCGATCTCCTTCTACCTGGTGGACCAGCATGATCAAATCTATAAATAAAATAATTCTAGACTATCCAAGCATAGGACCTCATCATATGTTTGAATAAAAGTTGTGATTCGAGATCTTTAGTGACAGTAACAACAGTTTATTCTAGAATTTTACCTATAAACTACACCAACATTCACTCAGAACTGCTCAAATTCACCATGCGGGAACTATAAACAGATATTACACGAAAATGTTTCGATGCTCAATGTTTGGTTTTATTTCTTTTCTGAACTCCAATGGTATCTTTGGCTTTCTGCGTTTTTCTAAGTCAATAATACAGTTAATAGCCCTTTTCTACATGTTCAAATTGTCACAAATTAGCAAACAAAACATATAAGGACTATTTATCTTAATTATTGAAAATTATTTCTGGATGATAAGAGTAATATATTTTAATAACTATTAATAAAATTATTTTTTAAGGTGGAATTTTCTTAGTATTAACAATTTTTGGTTCATTAGAATATATGAACTGCAGCATGTATTTAAGACAAGTAGGAACATTATCAACTTATTGTTTTTTAATGTGTTACGTACCAATGGTGATAAACGCCCTCGTTGAGTATCAATTTATTACCCTTATAAGCATAACTAAAGAGCGATTTTCATTGTTAAATAAAGAACTTGGAAAAATAGGCACTAACACTATTAATAAATGGAAAAATACCAATCAAATTCATCCAATTACTAAAATAGTCAATCACACATCGACTAACATTAAAAATATAAGACGAACTCACGCACTTTTATGCAACGCCGGGTATGAAATTAACAAAGCTTATTCTTTACAAATTTTATTAAACACGGCTCATATTTTTATTAATTTTACCACGCTGGGGTATTATTGCTTTGATGGTGCGATGAGATTATATCTTCAAGAAGAAGATAGTAATATGTATAATACTGTCACAACTGGCATTTGGACTTTATGTAAAATTTTACAACTTTTAAATATCACTTTAACTTGTTCTATGATTAAAAAAGAAGTATATTTATTATAATTAAATCTTTAAGAAGTTAAAGAATTCTGATTTTTAGGTTGCGTTATCTGGTGAAGTCGTATTTAAAATAAATGATCGTTTTAAAACAGATATTGCTTTCGAGGTAAAATAAGTTTTTATTTTCTCTGTAAAATGAGGTAGTTTTATATTGTAATGTTTTTTTTAGATAAACGCCTTAGTGAAACAAATATTTCATTGGAACTTTAAATTAACAGCTTTCCATCTTTTTGATTTAGATATGGAACTTTTTTATTGCGTATGTTTGCTTTAAATTAAAAATTTTAATTTAATTCTTTTATTTTAGGCCATCTCCGCATCGACGACGTATTTAATGATTCTTTTGCAATTAGATATTGCGAATAAACAATCAGATCAAATAGAAAAGATTGATGGTAATTTCACGAATACCATTTACTAAATAATTAATAAATGTAACAAAATTTTTTATTGGAGATTTATTGATAAAATGAATAAGCAGTAAGTAAACATTTGATGCTTAAGTATTTACAGCTCAAATATTGGTAAATTACTAAATCGATGTCCTTTCTGCGGTTTCAGTTTCAACATAAACTGATTATAAAAAATGTTTAGATTTCAAAGTAGGTCTTATACAATTAAAATTTTAATTCTTTGTTTAAATATATTATTAAAATTATTTGGGTTATCACTTTCCAACAAAATTAATAACAAAAAGTCAAAAGGATTAATTCTTTATGATTTAATTCTTATATTATCGTTAACAGGTAAAATTAAAATAACAATTAGATTTTTTTTTTTAATAATTAATTTATTTTTAGGATCCGTATTTTGGATTATTGCCAAAAATGATTTTGATTTAACAGATAAATTATTTGATACTCTTCAATTAATTGTCATAATCTTAGTGATGATTCAAAATATTTCAAAAGAATTGAAAATCGTAAAAGGGCTAAAATTTCTGCAAATAAATGATGATTCCCTGTATATGAAATGGTCAACACTGATTAATTTGGTTATGGAATTTTTACTTTGTGGTATTTTAAATTTTATAGGAATCTTTTTATTAAAATCTCATCTCTGCTTAATCACTAAACTCATTTTATTTTTATCAAGTTTGATACAAGTTTTATTTGAATGCCAGTTTATACTTTATAATTATTTATTGTATGCACAATTTTCAAATGTAAATTTACTTTTAATACAACCCACGAATTCCTCAATATTTAAGAAAGTAAATATCACAATAACGAATCTACAAAACATAAGAAAACGCCACGAAAAAATTTGTATAGCTTCGAGTTATATCAACAATTATTTTTGCGTACAAATATTAATGGTAATAACATTAAATTTTCTTGTATTCTTAAAGTATTTATTTTCCTCTTACAACAAAATGTTACAATTTAAACACAACGAAATTTTAAACACACAAGAAATTATTAGTGAGGTTATTATACTTTTAAATATTCTCTTAAGATTATTTTTGATCTGTTACGTTCCATCGTTAATGAAAAAATTCGTAAGAAAGTTTTGCTTACAATTAAAAACGATTATTTATTTAACTAATTTTTAGGCTAATGAATCAATTCAAATCTTATTCGAATTAAACAACACGTACGATGAAATTATAGGAGACGAAATAGAAATATTTGAGCAACAAATTCAAGCGTGGAATGTTAATTCTTCAGCGTGTGGATTTTTTAACATAGATATGACATTATTTTTTAACGTAAGAAATTAAAATAAATCAATTTTTTGGATGCAATCAAACGAATTTGTATGAAAAGCAATTTAAAATTTTAATCAATTCTTTATTTTAGATTTTATGTGGTGCAACGATGTATTTATTAATTTCTCTTCAAATGGCAAGTGCAGAATAGGTTTTTTGTACATCACAGTGTTTTATTTTTAGTAATTTTATTTAGATTAGTATCTCCCTGTTAGTAAGTTTAGCGCTTTGATTTACAAAATAAATGACTAGTTGTCAAAAATCAAAGTTTGTTTATAACTCCTAATCGCTTTATTGTGATAATCATGAAAATTTGATTAATTCAGATATAAAAAATAATTAGAAAACCTAAACCAATGTTTAAAAAGTTAAAGTGGAGAGCTATTAAGATGGCAAAAGTGCCAGAATATAGAATATCAACCCAAAATTTACACCAAACAGTGACATGTTATGAATGCATTAGTTTCTCATCCTTTTTTCACGATTTTTCTGAACTCCAAATGTGACAACTTTGACGATCACCGAAACCATCAAGATAAAAATGAGTTTCGTAAACGGTTTTGTTCGAAAAATCATATCTGTACGTGGTCTACTGACCAGTTAGTTTCAGTTATTGAGTCAATTGAAGATTACTTAAAAAGTTTGCAAATTTTTTTATGAAAATGCCCTCACATGCGACCCGACCTTCTTACTCTCCAAGAACTCTTCTCTCCCACCTCCATTCCTCCCTACTTCTTCTCCCGTCTTTACAAAACTTCATAATCTTTGTCTTTTCGACATTTACCGCCAACCCCTTCGCTTTAAAATATCTCTCCAGAGACCTTATCATCTCCTTCAGATCTAAAAGTATTTGGGAACTAAGTTTTTTTTAATTAATTAGGTAAGGTGGAGTATTTAATTCCGTTTTATTCATAAACTTGATCTATAATATGGATATAGATCAAGATAACATTATTAACTTAATTAAGTAAAGCATTGTGCACAAACACATACAACAACAAACTCGGAATATCGTTTTTTTCCATTAGCAACTAGTGAAACTACAAATTCTTCCAATTTTCATATTTTCGAATATTCCTCTACATTGATGCATCTGAGAGCAAAAGTGTTAGAGAGCAATGTGTAAAGGCTAAAATTTTCTACAACTTTTGTTATAAAACTTATTAAGTATAATGCTCGAAATACCGTTTTTTTTTTCATTAGCAAGTTGTGAAACTACGAAATCATTCAATTTTCATATTTTCGAATATTTCTTTACATTGTAGAACTTGCATAGAAACTGACAGTGAACTATAACTTGCCACAACCTCCAACGTGAGATAGAAATTTGATGGCTTGTCAAGTATTGCAAGGGCGACCAACTTCAATAAAACCAATATAGATATACAAAGTGGTAGCAAGACATAGGATACGATAGGTTGGAGCTATCATTTCAGCAGAAGGGGATTCATTAGTGAGTCAAACTCATCCTGTATTGATTTAAGAGCTTTAAATACACAGGAAATTGTATTGTGTTACTTTCGTTTCCCCCTCACAGCTCGCATAAACTCCAATTACTCAATCGGCCTATGTTTGGATCTTTGAAAAATGTTATTAATAAAACTTGTCAATTTATGACATACCAAGCAAATGTTATGCCGTTGGCTGTTATACATAACTGGCTGACTTTCGTAAGGTAGGAATATATCCGTTCAATCACAATTTGTTTAACGCACTTGATTTAGTACCGGCATTTATAACAAAAAGATCAACTCCAGAAGTGAAAGTAGCAGAAGTTACCAGTGATCAATGCTTTTTAATATTACCATCAGCAGTAAAGTCCAATAGCTCAAATACACAACTTTCCAGTTCTATCCAGTTCTGTTTGTTCAAAAGAGCAAGTTCCTACTATTCTTGAAACTACTAGTACACTACCAATTTATTGACATAACAACCATATAACCTTAAAGAGAAAAGTCACTTAGAAGATGCATCCATTTTTCATCAAAAGATGTACGGCCTGAAAGTCCCTATGAGAAAAGCAACAAAGAAAACGCAAAAAACTATAAAATCGAAACACACAAAATAAATCATTATACATACCTTTATCTCTATATTTACTCTTTAACGATTTCTTTCTTGGTAAATATTAGTATTAGTCGACAAGGTAAAGTTCAAATAAAACAACTAAATTACCTGGAAAATGATATTTATTGTCATGTACCCTTTATTACCTAATATTAACACAGATTCTTATCATATGAAATATATCTCCATTTCAAATCAAAATAAATTCATTCCCTTTTCAGTCGTTTTAAAAGTAAAACGTTAAAATGGTAAATTCAACAATAATAAATAGTTTAACTCCGATTCTTTTTTTAAACAAAGTTATCGGTTTATGGACGATTGAATTAAAAATAGACGATTCGATCAAATCGAAAACGAAAATTATAAATGTAATTCAAACTTTTGTATTATTAATTTTATTCAGTGCTTTATCAATATTGCATTTTATGAATGATAACGATGAACATCAAGCATTAACTTCGTCGATAAATATTTCAATATTAAAAATTTTAGTGGAAAAATATTTACATTCGATACTCGGAGTAGTGATCATAATTTTATCGTTTATAAATAGACAGGAGTATGTTATATTTTTACAAACAGCATCCTTGATAGATAACATGTTAACCAAGATAAAAATAAATTTTGATTATACGAAACATTACCGAATTGTTTTGATCACAACGATATCCGGTGTAATAACATGGATAATAATAACCGTAATTTTCGTTTTAGTCGACGATTATTTATCAGTTTCGGTAATATGTATTTTAGTACTTCTTGTATTCGCTTCAATTGGAAAATTCATTCTTAGTTTATATTTAATGAGAAAACGAATATCGTCTTTGAATGTATTTTTACGAAATTTAGATTTAAATCTTAAAAATTCTGTGCGGGAAGTTCAACAATTAAAATGGATCGCTAACAGTCAAAATAAAATTGTGGATGCTGTAACAAATTTAAACAACGCTTTTAGTTTACAATTATTAGCATTCATCACTTTATGTTTTCTTTCAACATTATTTGGAATATACAGCAACTTTCGTACTTTATTTTCGGATTATGGAGAACAAGCTTTATGGATTACTATTTTAAATAATTCTTGTATGGGTATTTGTATGAGTATTGTTTTATTTGGAGTTGTATGGATTTGTTCAACGACATCCGATAAGGTAAGTTTTTTTTAATTTATTTAGTTTGTAATGAAAAGAAATTATACAAGTTTAAAACGATTTCTAACAAAATCATTTTTACGTGTTTCTGGATTTTTGAAATGTATGCTACATTTAAATGTAGCTATTTGGCCCTCCCACCACCACTATCATCAAAACATATCATTTTATGAATCTAAAATATCTCCTGAAAAATGTTCCCTATTTTAGTCTATATGCATAGCTGTTATATGGTGAGCTCTAGCCTTCAATAGCACAAGCTGGTTACTATATATTTTAGCATACTTATTTGTGAAAATCATTAGAAAACTGAGGGATCTCCCCGTTTATTACTATAGCAGTTTGTTATTCTGTATAATATGCATTCGTGTTTAAGCGTGTTTATTAAGATTCATTATGAGTGATAATGAATGAATAGATTCATCTAGAGCAATTCTTATATCAAACAAAATCAAAGTAGTCAAAAGATTGCACCATAAAAAGGTTGTGGAATATTAGATGAACATTCCACAGCTTTAGTCGTGGTTGCGACCAGAACATTCAGTATACAAGAGATCTGGCTGACAACAATAAAGAAGCATTATTTCCAAAACACATATCGGAAACACCGTTAATGATGGATCTTTACCGCCAAAAATAAGTTAATATTTTAAATTCAGCATTGATGGCACGGATACAGCTCCATAGGAAGCGGAAATAAAACTAGATATATGCTCTATTTGCTCAGATCAGAAAATGTCTAAGAATATATGTTGTAAAATGTATCATTCGCTGCACATGTGCGCAAGCAATATGTAAGGCGTTATGAAGAAGCTGTGAAGATCTTGGAATAAATACATATACATACATTTTTTTAAGATGAGTAAATTCATAAATTTAACATTAAATTTTTCTATTTTTAAATTCATTACAATATGGCAGCACTGATGGCAAATCACCACGGACGATTAAACCATTGAACAACGTACATCCTTGCTATATCCCTATTTTATCCTTCCTATAAACTCGAGTTATCCGGTTCGATAAATCTTCAGCCAATACTTCCCTGTTAAAAAAAAATGGTGCTTTGCGTGAGAGAAAATCTGAAGCAATTAATTGTCAGTCGTCCATAAGAACATGGTCTCTCTACATCAACTTACTAAATTTTGCGTCGAGACTTGATTCTGCACCCATATAAAATCTATATTTACTAATTGGAGTTTGGAGCAAATGGATGTTTACCTAACATGCGGCAAAAAACAGTGAGTGAACAAGCAAAATTGTTGGATATGGAGCCAAACGAATCCATACAACATACCCCAGCAACAAATGCATTCCACAGAAGTTACTGTTTAGTAATTTTGGTATGGTGGAATCATCAATGCGAAATTCTTCCAATAAAAACTGGCATTGTCATCAATGGAAAACACTACAAATCATACATGATAAGTATCTTTCATGGCCTAAATTGGATGGTGAAGGAGACGGTGTTAGATGCCATGTAGATATGAGGACATGATTATCTTGTATGGTGGCAACGTGAACTGACCACTAAGACCCTGCGATTTAACTCCTGTAGACTTCTTCTTTTGGAGTTATCTTAAATCGTAGTTTATGCGAATAAACGCCACACAGTTAATATCCTCAAAGTCAACATAACCAACGTCGCTCAACGAAAATCACCTCTTGAATAAATACCGCCAAACAAAATCTCTGTGGACATTTTAAAGATGTGATAATCCATATGTAATGCCATCTCGTACACAACTTCTTTTATTTCTAATATTTTTAATTAAATTAATTTCTGCTGATATCCTAACATAAAATGTGGAACAAAAAGTTAGTATCGTTCCTAGAAACATACACATTCATACAAAACATGATAAAGGAGTTTATATAAATACGAAGAACCGCATTTAGAAATGCATCATAGATTGCTTCTTCTGGATTTCAATCGACGATGCAGCAGATGAAATACCTGAAGAGCTGACTGCTAAAAAATGTCTTGTTAAATACAAAAAAGTTTGATGCAAGATTTTGGATGAGACTTTCAATAGACATGATTTTACTTTTTGTATGATGGTAAAAGCAGCACGAACATTTTGTCCAAAAGTGATACATTTAATTGTTCTTGTATACTGAGTTCATAGAGTTTGTGAGCAAATTTAAAATACACTAACATCAATCGATTTATTATCAAGGCGAATAAAGCATTTTAAAAATGTTCTCAAGATAAGCAATTTTTAACGAAATAGTGCCTTATCTTGCTCACTCACAGGAGAACGTGGATTAATGCGAGACATTTTTATGCTACCAAGTTTGAAAAAATTGGTAATGTACTTGGGTGTTACACTAACAATTAACAATGAATTGTAAGAAGACGTAAAATAAGACTTAATTCTTATTATATCAAAATATGGATTATGAATTATCAATAAAAGCAGTGGAAACATCTGAGATTCTGCTTTCTACACAGATTGATGTAGTGATACATGCTCAAGAGTTAATTAATACCAGCATAATCGGTGAAATTTTATAAGTCAAATTAAGTTGTAATAATCACAAAAATATTTTTATCTCACCTACAAATTTAAATGGATATGCATATTTTCAAAATTCTCATTTTCTTGTAGCATATTTTCATGCTTAAACAACATATTTTGATTTTTATAGAGCATTTTTTTTGTATACGTTGTAACATAAACTAAAATATCTCTAGATTTATTTTGTTTAGTTGAGAAAATTTGTATCCCTATTAATATCTTAATTATTGGTCAAATTTCCGAAATATTGTACCACTAGTGCCTATAAATACAGAAAAATCACGATAAGCTATCGAGAGTTCTTCAAATTGTGCGTTAATACCGAGTACTCAATACTAGTACTTTAAAAAGATAAGAATCCGGTTATAATCTAAATTATTAAGTGAAGTTGAAGTGAGTAATTATTGTTATTTATTAACGTTAATAACAGCTGTTATTATGAAATTCTAAACAAGAGGTTTCTTTGACGAACCTCCTGACGAGTCCTCATGATTAATTCATCAATCAGAAAGCGGTAACCAATACTAATTCATCGAAACTACCTGGTAAGCAACAATTGGTGATAGGCAACAACTTTAATATTAAATTTTGTGACCAGAAAAAGACGAAGTACATTCTATTTTGTTGAGCATAATTTGCCATTTAGCCTATCAGAGTTACCAAGGAAAATATATTGCCAAAAAAATACAGTCTGGGAAAATAAACGTAGTGCTATATCCATCAATTTAAGTAACTCTAATATTTTCAGAAATAACAAATTCTTATTATATACAATATTCATCAAACATTAATATTTAGTAGCCCAATACTTTTTTCAATATAAAGTAAGCACCTTCTATAATTTTCAAGTAATTTATCAACTTTTTCAAACAGGACGATATTCCTTTCTTATGGATTTGCTTGTGGTAGAAATGTCATAGTTGGATTCAATAATTCAATATCAATTTATCTTTTGAAGTTATCTTTAGAATTAGTTGTAGCCAATCAACAATGGAAGGCTTTGAAGCAGTATTATATTGATGAATCATATTAAAAAAGAACATCACCGTCTCGATTTTTGACTCCTTAAACAGAGAACACGATTAATTGCACCACAAATTCTTGTAAACATAAGCTTATGTAATATAAGCTATATGGTGGAGTCAGTTATTCATACAAATCATTGTTAATTTTCTTTAATTGATGTAATTCTTAATTCATTTAAATTTATACATTTCTTCTTATACATTTTTAAACATTGTTATTTAGAAAATTGTAATAATAATGTGATCGAGTCTTTAGGATTACTTGGTCTTAAAAAAATACTGAAAAATCTAAATGAAATTTTTTGACATCAATCAATACGCTACACTTAAATGTAGCTTTTTGGCCCCCCCACCACCACTTTCATCATCAAAAAATATATATATTGTTTTATAATACTTATAATACTATTGTGTTATATGTAATTATTATATAATTAAATGCACAAATATAATGTTTTGTAAATATTTGGCCCACCCACCTCCTCTTCCTTCAATTAAAAATTTTTTTGATTTTATTAAGATAATAAATTTATATAATTATATATATATTATATAAAATATTTCTATAAGTATTTATATTATTTATGGATAAAAAATTATTTTTCGCTACATTATGTGTAGCTTTAAAGGCCCACCCACCTCCACTGCCATTCATAATTTTAATAACTTACTTAATTTATAACTTAATTCACTAATTTTACTTTTAATTTACTTTAATTTTAATGCTAATTGAATTAATTATAAAAAAATTAACTGTTTTAATACATTTTTATAGTCATTTTTAATTTGTAATTTATAATCAGTCATATTAATCGGATTTAATCAAACTTATCAATTTAAAACGTTTATAAATTTGTTTTTAATCTCGCTACAATATCTGTAGCTTTAAGGGCCCACCCACCTCCTCTAATCTCAATAATATTTTTCAAATTTATTTAACATACAATTAATTTTAAATTTTTTATCGTTTCATTTTAATATTTTCATTTATCACATTTTAATAAATAAAATAAAATCTATAAAAATCTTAACATTATAGTTTCACAAAAATAAATTTCTTTGTACCCTTTATTATTATCGAGATGCTCTTTTCGCAATATCAAAATACTTTATATAAAAACCAATCTATTTTACTTTTTAAAATAGTACTATTTAACTTATAAAATTTATCATTCAAATTACTCCACAAAACACTTTAAGCTACTCAGTTAAAAATTTGACAATTCAAATCGGTTAAAAGAAAAGCGCGAGCCTACAAAGTCGTTGCCTTAAATCTAAATCGTCGTTTTTTGTAGAGTTGCCGGTATTTTTCGTTGATACGTATATTTCTCTACCATAATATTTATCTTCATCTTGTTTTAAAAATTGTCATGTATTTAGCTATCGGATTGAATATAAGAATATTTGGAAGACTTTTTAAGAGACCGAAATGATAATCATCAAATGTTGGGTAGTAAACTATTTTGTAGGTTAATCTGAATGGATATTATTTCATATCTTTATGAATTTAAAAACATTTTATTTTTATAAAATAAGTTAGTTTGTGAAAGTATTTGGGGTTCTAGAAATATTTTTATTATTTTTACATTAATTAAAATAAAAGAATTAAACGATAATTTCAAAAGATAAATCTAAAAATATAATGAGAAGATTTAAATGTGATTATTTCACAATATTAAAATTGAACAATTTTAAAATAATATTTTTAATCATATCTTTATTTCATTAATTCTACCGACTTTAAAGGTATAATAATTAAGTAATAATCATTTCTGCATACACAGGTTGTGATTTAGACATTTAATTAAACATTTACATTTTCAATCTAATAATTTCAGGTAAATTATTACTAATTTTATAATATAAGATTTGGTTAGTTACGCAATGACCATAAAAAACCTTCGAAAAGGTATGTTTGATCAGGTTTTATCAATAACGTTGATATAAAATGTTGTAATACCATCTAATGTTATGTTTAGATAAGAAATTCCATCAAAAAGTAAAATATATACCGTAAAACCAAAAATAAAACTTTCAATTTATGTGGACACCACACTTATTTTAAACAATATCATTTCGTTTTTATGGTAATCACATTTTTTACATTGATATCTCATTAAGAAAGATAAATAATTAAAGAAATTCAAAATAAAATCACCTCTTCGATATTCATAGAATCAACGATTAACAATCAAGTAAAACCTCTTCTTTAGTAATCATATTATTATTTACTAGTTAATTCGCGTTTCAATACTCTGTTCATTCAGTCATTAAATAAATAAGTAATATTACAACCTCTTTTTTACCTTAAGGCTGATTAACTCTTAAATAAAATCATGTACATACAAATCTTTCTTTAATTCGTTAATTCTTCTTTATATTCGTTCCATATTTTTTTTGTGTCATTAATCTATTGTCTTATGTATATATGCATATATAGTTCATAGCCTATTTTATTAGAATTACCACATATCTTTTTATTATATAATATTTGTTGAATTTTTTCGATACGGTTATACCATTTGTTAAAATAAAAAAAATATACCTATTATATACAAAATATACTTATTTTATTGTAACGTTTATTGTACCTTAATGTCAAGTTCCACTAATAACAAAATGTTAATGCGAATTATTGATTATTATCTTAGCTGCAAGATTTGCCGTTTTTAGAAATAAATTTACTAAATAATAAACATAAAAAGGTAGACAGAATTCATTCAAAATAATTCATTTTTTACTCAAATCAGAGTATATATATTTAATGTTATCCCCCACGAAAGAGGGCAACATTCTTTATCATGTATCTATAACTAAAAACCTTATTAAGCTAACCACAAAATTAATTCTGTAATTTGAATTTATCACATCACGGTATTTCCAAGAATTCGATCAAAAATTTCTTACAACCCATGCTATTGGGTTTATTTAAGAATAAAGGTTAAATAACATATACATACTATATTCAATAAAGTATTATGTGTTGTGTAGTATCAGAATTCATTAAGTTAATTAGCATTAATGGTAGTAGATTAGTTTTAAGAGAAAGAGTTCAATGGGCTGAGATCAAATTGGGTTAAAACGAGAGATGAGATCAAAAGCATCTCTTAGCACACCTTTATGTAGTGGTACCTATGTGTGGCGCAGAAATTGCACATATAAATGGCGAACGTTAGTTGAGCAAATTCTTATCCTTATTAATATCTTATTTATTGGTCAAATTATTGAAATATTGTACCACTAGTTCGTATAAATACAGAAAAATCACGATAACCTATCGAAAGTTCATCAAATTGTGCGTTAATACTGAGTACTCATACTAGTACTTCAAAAAGATAAGAATCCGATTGTAATCTAAATTATTGAGTGAAGATGAAGCGAGTAATTATTGTTATTTATTAACGTTAATAACAGCTGTTATTATGAAATTCTATAGAAGAGGTTGCTTTGACGAACCTCTATCATAAAAATGCCTATTGTAATGGGGAAAAAAATCCTCATGATTAATTCATCAATCAGAAAGCGGCAACCAATACTAATTTATCGAAACAACCTGATAAGTAACAATATATAATAGGCAACGACATTTTAAGCCAATATTAAACTTTGTGACCAGAAAAATTCGAAGAACATTCTATTTTGTTGAGCATAATTTGCCATTTATAATCGCCTATCAGAGTTACCAAGGAAAATATATTGCCAAAAAATACAGTCTGGGAGAACAAAACTTAGTGCTATATCTATCAATTTAAGTAACTCCGATATTTCAAATTTTTATTGATATTTGTTAAGGATTTAATATCCATCAAACATATATATTTAGTAGCCCGATATTTTTTTCAATATGAAATAAGCACCTTCTATAATTTTCAAGTAATTTACCAACTTTTTCAAACAGGACGATATTCCTTTCTTATGGATTTGCTTGTGACGGTAGAAACATCATGGTTAGATTTAATAATTCAGTATCAATTTATCTTTTGATGATATTTTTAGAATTAGTTGTAGCCAATCAACAATGCAAGGCTTTGTAGCAGTATTATATTGATGCGATAAATCATGAAAATTTTACAAAGCAACAATCATATTAAAAAAGAACATCACCTTCTCAAACTTTAATTGCTTAAACAAAGAACACAATCAATTGCACCACAAATTCTTATAAGCTATAAGCTTAGATATGTAATATAAGCTATATGGTGTAGTCAGTTATTCATACAAATCATTGTTAATTTTCTTTAATTGATTCATTTAAATTTATACATTTCCCAAACATTAATCTGCATAATAAGAAGTAATTCAAATTTAAAGATTGTTGTTTAGAAAATTATACGGAAATCGCGTTACTAATCTAAAGAAGTTTTGATTTCAATAATAATGTGGTTGAGTCTTTGGGACTACTTGGTCTTCAAAACATACTGAGGAAACTATTGCGCAAGAATCGTCAATTCATTACTTAATAATAATAATCACGATTTCGACAACAAACGGCGACAACGTTAAAATTCGCAATTTACATACAATACAAGAGGTAAATAATAATAAAAAAAGTTTATGAAACTTACAACTCTACCGTTATTCTATCATTAGCATTGTTACAATGAGAAACATTATTATAAGAGGTACAAGAATGGGAGAAATTGGTACGCCTAAAAAAGTAAAAGTAAAAATTTTATGAACATTTAATTAACAAAGTAGATATGGAGTGACACATACTTCATTCAAGACACAACTTGAAAGGTGGTTGATTTTTTTCGAGGAGCTGAGAATAATTTTAGCCAATTCTAAATTTGGATCCATTAAAGAAAGACAGGAAGAAAGTTATCTATACGATCCAGAATAAAAAAGATAAGCTAAACTTTTTTGGGAATGAAATTTGACATGAAAATGGACACTCAAAGATTGTCTAAGAGTGGAACAAACCCTCCTTTATATTAATGAATTATTATAGAAGCAAAGGATAGGAAATCATTTTCGACAAATCATTCTGATCTTATTTATAGGAATTATATAACATTGAAGTATCACTCAATACATAAATATATCTATATCGCTCAGACGCTCAATGAATAAGTTCCAATTAAACTCAAAGTGCACGCAATATCCACGTTCAAACCGTATTAATTGAAATCATGTCTTCCCAAAGTAAAAAAGTTGTTATTATCAATTTTTCTATTTATCCATCAGAATAGGATTCATAGTTTCACCTGAGGCAGGAGAATAATTTTCTAATTCTTCAACAACGCCATAGATAATAAATGGTTTCAATGCAAAACAGTTAGACACAGGTTTAATTCAAATTCATTTCTACTCATAGCATTTGGATGAATAACAACTTTTGCATACATAATTTCTGTAATAATGTTTATAAAATAAACGATTAATTTTCAATAATTAATCTCATGGTGCTCAAGCTAATATTCATCTTCAAACCATTACAAAGCAAACGTGAACATTCCTTTTAAAATGATATTTCTGATCATTCAATTTATAGTGCTTAAACGAAATATGTCTCCCATAAAGCTCTCATCATATTCAAGACGTCCGTTAACACCGCTTTTCACTCAATTTATACCCGCTCATATAATTGTTCTCTCTTTAAAAAGTAAAAAAATAAAGGCAATAAAAACCAAAAAATTATCATCACACGTTTTCAAATCCAAAAAGCAAAAATATCGAATTTTCAACAAGCAATATAATCTTCCAGAACAATTCCAACCAAACTTTCCATCGACCTTTCTATCCAATCATCGATTCTCTATCAAATCTCAAATAAATAATAAGTAATAATAATAAAAATATATATGTACTACACACAATCACGTTAGCATTTCATTTTATTTGTAGATACTTGTACACAAATATAATTCAAATCAATTTCATTCATTATAGGTGCATTATGAGGTGCAAAATATAATGGAAATTTCAATATTAACTTATTTATGTGAATTAATAAGGCTAATCACGATGAACTAGATTGATGGCAGGAACAACTAAGTAGCACACCACAGCCATAACACATTTTTCTAAAACAAATAAATTCATTACCCAGTTGTTCTTTCACAACACTAACTCGAGTATCAAGCAATAATGCTAAATTTGAAATAAATGTGGCGTACTATTTTACATACAGTGGAGGTTTTCTTTGCATCATACCTTATCCAACAAATTTTACGTCTTTCAATCATTCGCAAAGACGACTAATTAACTAACATCAGTCAAATATCAATAAGTTTTAATTTGGTGTAAAGAAGTACTTTGTTTAGTTTGTCGTAGAAATTTGTTGAAAATAATTATAATAATGTTTAACATAGAAATTTTTTGTGATAAATTCACTTTCATAATAGAAGGTTAAGTCAGAACTCAATCATTACAGCCTCATCAATTTATCATCACATTTTGTATCACTAGACATTAAGTGCAGTTCACGATTTTTTGATGGAGTCATTTTCATGGAAAGTTCAGCCAGCCTCATTTAACAGAATTCATTGTTGCCCATTTTCTCATATCATTTTGTGTCAGTAAGTATTTAACTAATTATTACAAATATGTTTTTGTTTCTGGATAACTTAACTTTTCTATAAGACGACAAATAAAACGAAAGAATTCATAGTTTTTTGTGTAAGTACACATTCACCATAAAGAACCAATTCGTAACTAAATTAATCGAAAAATATCATCACTTCTTCAATCTCATTCATTTGAATTATTATAGCAGAATATAGTTATAATTGATTATATTAAATCAGTCCAACATTTACAGGTAAATTTTCCATTTGACCTATATCCTTCCAACCGTATTGTTGAGTAATAAATAGTTTTAATACCAGCCTTAAAAGGCTTCAGTATTTTTATCTATATTTGAAAGAATGTTGCTATCTTCTTGCATTATTTCTTATTAATATTAGGGATTCATCAAATTTGATCTTCTATTGTGTAACAAAGAATTTTATAGAGTTAACCAAGTAAATCGTTACTCATCTAGAGAAATTCCTTATTTCTAAAGACTCCATTTATTTTGTACGATAGAGTATTTAACTAATCAGTCTAATTATGACTTTATGTATGGAAAATTCGTTTTCATAACATAAAAACAAGCCAAATCTTCAAGTAGTTTAAGAAATTCATAAATTTTACCATCTCAAATGTCTTTTGCGGTTTTCATAGGAAAATATCTCGATCATTTCGAGGAATTCTTTTCTTCAAAATTCAAAAATTCGAGGAATGTAAATATAAAGGGATTGGAAATGTTTCCATATCGTAGAATTATTTCATTTTTGCAATAATTAATAATAACCGATCTAAGTGGAAAGAAGGACCGCGCTCTGTGTGTAATGATCTTATAACCTAACCGAAAAACCAAAAGAAACATCAGTCGTGAGTTTCTACCATCAAAATATTAACCAATAAATATCAATATTAGTGATGAACACTTCATCATTGCAATTCAAAGACGAATAATTCAGAATATAATATAATCGATTAATACATTTTAAAGTCGTAACACAACATTTTATCTTTGGAACGGCTTAAAAATATGGGAATTGTCAGCATTATAAAAGCTGTAAATTTAAATTAAAGCAAGAAGTTGTATAACATAAGAATATTACTCAGCTTGTCACCCCATGCGCAAAAAAGCAAAGAGTGGATTTGTGCACAAAAACATGAAAGAACATCAAAATTGTGAAGCACCATTAAATGGTTAAACGTTAAATAGATGTACATGGAATATTTTTATTCGTGGATAATAATTTGTCATAATCAGTTACAAATCTGTCGAAAAAATTCGTAATTCTGATTAATTCGGAATATATTTAAGAACATACCGATCGTGTTAATTTTAAAAATAAGTACACATACGCTTTAAGAACACAAACACAGCATGGAGTTTAGCTTTCAATAAACCCAATTAAAAGTAATTAGAAACATGTACATAATGTGTTATATATGTGGCTGAATTCATTATTGCCCGTTAATAGATTCATTTTATATTGTTAACTTTCTCTTCTCATTGTATCGAGTAAGAGGATATGGGTAATTATTTAAATATTGCTTATAAATTCATTTTAATAATAATACTCCAATTAAAAATATATCGGAGATGTGGTTTATTTATTTTCATAAAGAACTCTCATTATTTTGCTCTTTGCATTTCTCGGATTTGGCCAATTATTTCAATACCAATTAGTTAGTGGGGTATTATTTTTACATAAATCACCATATATAAAAGCTGAATCAAAAATGAATAATATATCACATAATATTTCAGTTCAGAATATTTCATTTAGAACGTGTTTATTTAATAATAGTATCCAGAAGAGTAGCTTTTCTTAACCCATAACATGTTTACAGCAATTGTGTTATTATTTTCACAACTTATGATCTTAGTATCTGTGCAGTTGTATTACTTGCGTATTACTATAAGCGTTTAGGTTGAATAGTTCGTTGGATACAAAGCAAAAAGGTAATAAAAGCACGAATTGAGATTGCTTTTTCTCTTGAGTATTTTAGCATGGATGTTATTTATTGCATTTAAGTCTAAATATGATTCATACCATGTATATTTCTCAATATGAAAATCAATCGTCAATCGAATGAATTTGGGCTTTTTGCAAGTGTTTCCACATAGTTTAATGACAACAAATGTACTAATATACGATTGGAAATATAGAAAAAAGCCAAGATAGTATTTATCAAAACATATAGCTTTAGGAAATGAAGCTAATAAAAAAGCGATCGTGCTGAATTCCTACTATTTGTACTCCTAAGATGTACTATATTGATGAGAAGACAATTAATTCATAACATTGACAAATAAATGGGCTCATCTAACATGGAATCAAGATAAGAGAACATTGTGTCACAAATCAGTACTATCTTAGGAGAAGCTAAGTATGACCAATACTTTAATAATTAATTTTTATTACCCTTTAATATCTAATCTGCACTTGTTTGATTAGTTATATCAACAACTAAATCTTAATCTCATCTATATTCTTACATGGAAGTTTTGTTTCAGACAAATGTAGCAATAGTATTTTAAAAAAAAAATTGCTTGTTACTATCCTTACTATGATATCTTTCTTTTAAAGGAAATCAAGCTAAATTCTTTGCTGTTAAAAATATCTTTATAAAAGATCTCTTTGCAAATTACAATTTAACACAAAACTGGAAACTAACAATGTAATAAATTGTTTAGACACTACAATTATAAGATTAAATAAGCTAAATTTAAAACAGAATAATCCTTAAAATACACACAACAGCACTCAACACAAATGATCAAATTTTCGCAAGTACTTTGCTCGAATTCAGACCAAAGCTTGATGGGAAGTTACAAATACATACTTGTCAATTATTGTTAATAATATAAACAAATTAGCCGGAATACGGCAAGACATTAAGAAGCATGTAAATTAACAGCAAAAGAATTAATACATTTGTGCTCTAAAATGAAATAGAGGGTGAAAGGGGCTTATCGAATCAAAGAGTAGGTTATTATGACAATGAGAGAGACTCACAGAAGTGGCGGAAAAGCAATATAAAAAATAAAATTTACTCTTGCGGTTAATAGTATTTGTAACAAAATTAATCAATGTGGGGAAAGAAACATGTGCGATCAAAGTGCAAATTAGTTTTTGAGGACGTATTGGAGAAATAGTCAAGGAAAATATTTCGGTCAGAGTAAAGAAAGGGGGATCAAAAGTTTTTATCAATGTTAAATACGTCCATATATTAATCCTATATTTGAACCAAGCAGGATAAAGTTGATGAGTAATCGAGGAATATGTTTTTATGTCTTTAATATCACTACACAAAGCAGATATATTACTTATATAAAAGGAGT